ACTTGCAGTGAGCCTCCTGCCTCAGCCTTCTGAGTGCTGGGATTACAGGCATGTGCCACCATGCCTGGCCTTCTGGTCTGGAACTTGTAATGATTCTCCGGCCTCAGCCTTCTGAGTGCTGGGGTTAGGCCTATTTATATAGGGAAATTCCATGCTAACCTGTATGTTATTATTAACTCAATGTTAACTTTTTTTATAATTTGAAAACTAATTTCCTTAATGTGATGCTAGATAATGTTTAATCTAGATAAAGTGCACATCATTTTGGACGAGATGCTATTAAATGGCTGCATTGTGGAAACTAACAGGGCAAGAATTCTTGCTCCTCTACTAATTCTTGATAAAATGTCAGAAAGCTGAGTGGAGGGCCCTACCGGATGACATGGATTTACAGGAAATATGATGAACACCATGGAATACTACTTGGCATCTGCAGCCGCAGAGAATCCAGAAGACCACACAGTGTAAAATGGTGTATCCTTCCAAACATAGTAAATGGCTGTTTTTCACAGTTCCTAAATAGAGAACAAAACTGTATTTTAAAAATCTGTACAAATTTTTAAAAAATTTTTTTTGAGAGAGGGTCTTGCTATGTAGTTCAGGTTGACCTTGGACTTACTGTGTAGCCCAGGTTGGCCTTGAACTCGCAGCGATCCTCCTAGTTCAGCCTCCCACGTGCTGGGATTACAGGCGTGCACCACCATGCCCGGCTTGAAATTTACTTTTTTTAACTCATTAATTTTCTATGTTAATCATATGTTAAATAACAATTTTTAATTAGGTTAAAATGTGTAATTAGATTAATCTCATTTGTTTCTACTTTTTTCTTCCAGTGCTGGGAATGGAACCCAGGGTCTAGCACATGGTAGGTAGGCAAGTGCTGTATCACTGAACTTCACATCCCCAGCCCTAAAATGTTTTAATTAGATATGTGGCTCATGTGTTTCTTTTAGACAGTGAGGTTCTAGAACTTCTCCAATACAACATACAAAGACAGGAGCTTAATTCTTTTTAAGTATTTGTAACCCACAGCCACCAGCAAGAAGCCCCAAGGATAGCAGAACCTCCTTCAAGGGTATTCTTCTGAGCTCCATGACCCCTGAGGCCCCAAGTGGGATGTGACAAGTTAGCCACGCAGCTGGAACCAAGCCCGACTCCTCAGGCGGATTCCGTCACTTTTTGCACCATTGAAAGTACCAACTGGGAAAATCAATGCTTTTACTTCAGCAGCTGGAACCCTGGGCTGACTCAAGCTGGAGTGTGAGGCGCATGACTTTCAGAAAGGAGGATTCTCTGGTAGGGGGAGTGTTGTAGCCAGGGTTTACAAGGGAAAAGATTTAATATAGGACCCATAATTTATAGGATTCTTGTATACTATCTACCCAAAGAGTCAAATGCAGAAGAGCACAGGAGATCTGTCCATGCACTGGAGACCCAAAGAATCCAGCTGAGGGCCTGGATCCCACGGCAATGTCCTGCATGAGTCCAGCTGGAGGCCTGGAGCCCACAACAATGCCTCATGCAAGTCTTCATCAAGTATCTGTGCCGGGAAGGCCCAAAGGTCAGTGGTGGAAGCTAGAAAGTCTGCGCCGGCGGGATGAAGGGTCTGTGCCAGCAGGTGGAGGGATCTGCACTGGAGCCAGGAAGCAACACTCAAAGTAAGGACCAGAGCTCCCCCAAAAAAGTACCACAGCCATCCTCAGTGACAGCGAGGATCCAAGCTCCTCCAATGATGAAAATAACCAAGTTCATATCCAAAAAACCAGCACGGCACACTTCTCCAGAAGAATCAACAGCACACCATCTTCCCCTCCAGTTCTCCTTTTATGCCGTCGGCAACAATCCTCAGGTGGGCCTTCCACACCCAGGACCACGCCGATTCAGTTCAGCTGGGTGTTACAAGTTGACCATTAGTTAATCCACCACAGAGCATTTGCAGATGGAGCCAGACTTCAAGCCACAGCTGGACACTGCCCAGAGGCGCCTCAGGCCTGTGTTACTTGGAAGGGTGGCTCTTGTAGATGAGTACGTCTGACCTGTCGTGCCACACGTTGTTGTCCTCATAAAGGTGGGTCCCGGAGGGCTGCAGCGTGTGCCGCTGATACTCAAAGGGCCGTGGCGCAATTCCCCAGATCATCCCAGTGTGCAAAGGGAACGGGTCCCCCCTAGGCTCAGGGGTGTGGCCCTTCTTCACGCCCCTGCAGTACAGGGGAACAGGACAAGTGCTGTCAGGTACGCGTTGGGCTGGCTATTGATCTCTGAACAGCAGCACGCCTCCAAGGCAGGCAGCCAGGACCCAGAGCGCCTGGTGGGTCTGGCCTTGCATGTGGCCTGCAGGGCACAGAGACCCTTGCAGGTGAGCACAAAGCCAGCCAGGTTCCAGGAGTGGGTGTAGGTGGCCTGTGGAATGGCCCTCAGCTTCTCCCAAAAGCTGCCATACCTGAAGAGAAAGGTCCTGAGGAGCCTGGATTTCAGCTCCATAGTTTCGTTTGATGGGCAGGGTACCGGGAATCGAACTCGGGACCTCATGCTTGCCAGGCAGGTGCTGCACCTCTGAGCTAAGTCCCTGGCCCCTCAGCTCCATAGTTTTCATAGAAGACAGTGTACATAAAAGGTTACCGCCCCACTCAACTGACTTCATCAAAATTTACTCTTAACTAAAAGAGAAGTTGTGTTTTCTAACTGGAAGCAGATTTTTCCCACTTCAAATTTTGCTGAGTCCCTAGAGGAACCCTTTTTGGTGTGTGCTTCCTTTTGCAAATTGAGAAACAGGATGGTGATAAGAATATGTGGCAGCTGTCCATCAGCCAGTAAGATTTCAAAACTTAAACATATATAGCATTTTGAGTAAAATTATTTTCTGAGTGGTATCTTTTTCAAGAAATCCTAGTAAGGCCAGGCATGGAGCCGGCCGTGGTGGCACACTCCAGTAATCTCAGCACTTGGGAAGCTGAGGTAGGAGGATGGTCATGAGTTCAAGGCTGGCCTGGGCTATAGAGTGAGACCCTGTATTTAAAAAAAAAAAAAGCTAGGCATGGTGGTGCACACCTGTCCTCCCAGCTACTTGAGAGTCTAAGCTAGGAGGATCCCAAGTTCCAGGCCAGCTGGACTGCTTAGCCAGACACCATGCCCTGTGCTATTCTCCTTCATGTGATGATGGGAAGAGGAGGCTTTAAGTTCTTTATTCTCTTCTAAAGATCTACTTATATATTTCAAACTTTTTAATCTATAAAGACCCAGAAGCAAACCTGTTGTTTTGGACGCTTTGAGAAAGGCGGCGGAAAGTCTTCTGAGCTGTGGGAACAAATGCGTGGTGTGTGTATGTAGAGCCTCTTTTATTAAGGAGTCAAGGTCTAGGGAAAGCCCAGTCTGGAAAGTGCTTTGGAGGTCTTTCCGAGACACATTAGTGGGAAACACTGCCCTAGTTGGTAGGCACTTAAGCAGTGGCACATTCAGGTAACTGCTGAAACTGGTACACCAGAAATAGCTAGGGAGTGAACACAATTAATTTTCGGGTCACACCAAAATAGTAGTTGAAATACATCTTGGCACAGATTTTAGTACCTTGAGAAAATGGTAAGAGTTTAAAAAACAAGTATCACAGAAAAAAATATTCAAGAACTTGTATATTTGGAGACTATGTCACATAATAATTCAAAATAATTACATACAATTACAGGCTGTGGTATCATTTCACTTCAGTAAGATATTTCAAGTGATTTTTCTGACTCATAAACTACTTAGTAAAATAGTTATGTAAAAGTTACTGATTTTATAAAATTCATCAATATACCCTCTGACAACCTGCTAGAATACGGCTCAGCAAACTTCTGTGAAGGGCCAGACAGTAAATATTTTAGGCTTTGCATGAGACATATGGTCTCTGCTAACTACTGCATCCTGCCATTGTAGCACAGAAACAAATGTAAATGTATGTAAATGAGTGAACATGACTGTTCTAATAAAACTTTATGGACACTGAAATTTTATATCAGTATAATTTTTATATCATAAAATACTTTTCTGATTTCAATTTTTTTGCCAACCATTTAAAACTGTTAAAGCTATATTTAACTCACGGGCAACACAAAAACAGGCAGCAGACCAGTTTGCCAACCCCTCTGCTGGCCTACTCTTGGTGAAAGTTGACTATGGACAGGCACTTTATAGATTTAAATAATGGCAGCAGTGCCATACACAAAAGCTGGATTTCAGTTCTACACCTAATACAGAATTTTAGTCATGTACTCAGGACTGTATTACAGAAAACCAAGTATCTTTTGGACTGAAACATAGGTCATACATTTAAATATTACTATTATGCTTTAACTTTTAGTCTTAGAGAAGTACAAACCTGACAATAAGGTGAAATATTTAGATGCTGCTTCTGATTACACACAGTGTTCTCATACAGCAAATAAAAATACAGTCATCCTTCATATCCATGGGTCCCATATCTGTGAATTCAACTAAGAGATTGACAGTATTTGGTGGGGGGCAGAACTGCATCTGTTCTGAACACATACACAGTATCCTTGCTTGTTAACAACAAGTATTGGGACCACAGCTCAGAGAAAGGGATCTCATGCTCTGGACTTTGTCCCCAGCCCCTGGCTCACCAGAGGCACTGCAGAAGGTGAGCACCAGGGCTCCAGGAGGCTCCAGGGAGGAAGAGCAGTGGGCTGGAAAGCGGCTGTGATCTGAGGAACAGCACAGGGTTTTGCTCTGATGGGAGTCCTTCCAAACAGCCAACAGCCGGAGCGGGACCCCAGTGCAGGCACCTGCCACCCTGCAGGACAGAGTGCAGGGTTGGGAACCATTCTGGGAAAGGGGTGAGTGTTTAAATCTGGGACTCAGAACAGCTACAGGGTGGCTTCACGTCAGGGTCCTCCGTGTTACCCGCCCACAGTGACTAGGTGAGCAGGCATCAGGGACAGATAGGGAGCTGGACAATGTGAGGACAGAATTTCAGAACTACAAGATAGGGATGCTTTCAAAGACCGACTTCTCAAAGATACCTTAAAAAACAACGAGAACATGAAAAAAGGACCCAACATATGGTTAAATGGAATAAGTGAAAAAATCAGAAGGTAGTACAAATGGCATAAAAAACTAGTTTACAAAAGTACTAATTGGAAACATCCCAAATATAGGGAAGGAAATAAACATACAGGTGAGACATACAGAACCCCAAATAACCATGATCAAAAGAGAACCTCTGCATGTTACATTATAGTCAAAATACCAGGGACAAAAATCTTAAATAGCTTTTAGGAAAAAACAACAGATAACTTACTTGTAAAGGAAAACCCATTAAAATTACAGCAGACTTCTCAACACAAACCTTAATGGCCAGAAAGGCTTACAGTGAAAGTGTTTCAAGCCCTAAGAAATATCAGCTTCTAACTCAGACTTAAAAATCTGAAACTTTCTTTCAAAATTGATGGAGAAATAAGGTATTTCCATGACAAAGAGCACGGCAAGAAATTCATTACCACCAAACCAGCATTACAAAAATTT